TAGTATGGATTAAATCTCTGTTACATGAATTGAGAATGAAAGATGAAGAACCTACCATCATGTGGGTTGATAATCAGGGAGCAGTATCTTTGGCTGCAAATCCTATCAATCATGCAAGAACTAAGCATTTTGAGCTTGACTTGCATTTTATCAGAGACAAAGTTAAAGAGGGAGTTGTTGCTGTAAGACATGTCCCAGCACTTGAGCAAGTAGCTGACATTATGACCAAACCTATCAATGGTCAATTCTATGTGAAGCTTAGAAACAAACTGGGAGTCATTCCTAAGACATCCATAGAATTGAGGGGGCATGTTAGCAAGGTCATTAAGATTAATGAAACACAAAGGGACAGAAATCTACTCAGCAAAATGGAGAAAGGACGTGCATGCACCCACATGCATGGTACTATGCAAGAGCACCTTGGTGGCAAGGTTGTTAGAGAAGTTTGTCCTCTAGCATGTGCAAGTAGAAATTAGACAAGTGTCCATTGTTCTAGATTATTGCTTACTGTATAAATAGGAAATTGAAAGTGAGAAAAATGTAACAATGATACCATTCTCGGTTCAATGAAAAATGCACTAAAACCCTACCATTGTTTTCTTGTTCTTTATGCTTTTGCCTTCGATTTTAATACCTATATGACAAAAAGAAGCTAAGGAACACTTAATTGTCGGTAACTGAGATTGCAACGGGTAACAGTAAGTGGTGATGGAAAGTACGTAATTGTCACAAAAAAGCGTAAATATGTCAACAACATTTCACAGGTTTAATTTGCCAAATATTTGTGGATACTAAGAAGACTATTTTCCTCCACAGACTTTTTGTTTTTCTTCTCCAGAAAGTGCCTTTCGCTATTGAAATGTATGTATAACTAAAATTAGGAAAGGGGTTGCGTGCATAAACTTACCCGAATAGACCACAAAGAAATCCGTAGAAGACTATTTTCCATGTCAACTTTGGTCTCTTATTCCTAAAATATCAAATACGAAAACATTTTCAGACCTGCACGCAAAAAATTATATTGATTCCTCGAATCGAAATAATATGTTTGGGTTCATGTAATCGCAGTTTTAATCAAATGAATTCAAGCTAAACATTCTAAATCGCGACAGAAAAAAAGGCACACATTTTAATTACTTCTTTGGCGACATCAAGAACCGTATTGATATGAAATACGGAAATAAATTATGGGAACAAAATCATCTAACTATTTTTTTATTAGTAACATCAAATCATACTAAGTACTACGTACCAATCTCCAAATACAATGATGATTATTCGTTGTTACATTAATTTATCCGTAAATTTTCTCACATCTTATCTTCACAAGAGTCATAAAGATTATGTGATTTTGCTTTTTTCTTCCCCCTCCGAGAGGAAAGCAGCATTATTAAAGAAAAAAAAATATTAAATCATTCTCGTTTGTACCTCCAGACTTAAACCCATGCAAATATTTATAAAATTGACATATAATAAATATCTGTATTTAATTTGAAATAATAATGAACGACCTCTCAACAAAAATTGCAAGGGGAACGATAAAAGCAGCACCAAACATAAATCTGTATCCCACCAGGACCGTCAGGCGCATGCCGTCGTTGGCCGATAGCTTATAGCCGATGTTGACCACAGCAAATATCGTCTGAACGCAGATCATTAACAACGTTGGCTTCAACCCGTGAAGATGGTGGCGTATATTTTCCAGTGAACCCATTAATTTATTTCCAACCAAAAATAAAATTTAATAAAATTGAATTTTAAGAGGAGATATTTTAAGAGATAGAGCGAGAGAGAGGGAGGGGATCAATATTCAAGAACAAGCAAGAAGCTGTCTTATCCGAACTTCTTGCAGTTTGTTCTTATATATCGAGGTTTTTCTATGCATGTATAATAAATAGTATAAAATATGTTTCTTCTGAACTATACAACTAGTGCGTGGCCCATGCGATGCACGGGAAAACAATATTACGATTGTATTATAAATTAAATATATAAATAACATAATTATGATTTATTCAATATTTTTAAATTAAACCAGGTTGGACACAGTCTGACCGGATGAACCGAGAACCGATTTATAACCAGTCTAGTTCGCTTAAATAAAATATTTTCTCTCGAATCCGTCAACACCCGTCGGTTGGACTGGTAGGATCGATACGATTTTCTAAATAAATTTATTTTAAATAAAATTTCATATTTAAATAAAATTCCATATTTAAATTTATTTTAAATAAAATTCCATATTTAAATAAAATAGAGATTTATAAATTATTTATCAATTAGTTTAAACAGTTGAATTTATAAATTATTTAGATATCTAAGTAACACATTTTATTTAAATTTATTACAAAAAGTACTATATATATATATATTAAAATGTTTATAAATTAATACTTGAACAAACCACAAATGATTTAATAAAAATAGCTTGATCGTTTCGATGACGGTCCAGTCCTGCAAACCTTATATTTACTGTACGTACATTAATAAATATTATAATAAAATATTATTTACTTCACATAAATATTAATAAAATGATATATAAATATTTAGAAATCATTAAACATGTTTGTTATAAAAGTATTGTTAATACGAATATTTGAAGTTTGGACTACATCACATTCACGTAATAAAATATTTTTAATATAAAATTTATATTTAGGTTCAATAATCGATTTAGTGTGGTCGAACTTATACATAACTTAGTCACCTGGGACCAATCAAGTTGTATCAAGTTTTTTTGACTATTTTAAATATCATCTAAAAGTAATTCAATCAATCTGAGCACTACCCTAATTAATCACCCGATTGATCCTGAAGAAATATTTTTATTTTCTTTAAATATATTTAATTTTATGAAATAAAAATATTTTATGATTCATATAATAAATGTCTACACCAAATGATAGTATATTAAGATTATAAATAATATATCTAAAGATGAATTAATTATTTTTACTTTATACATATTAATAAAAAAATAAAATTGTAATTTTCAAAAAATTAAGATTAATTGATTGATTATGCAATTTAAAGTATATTTTTAGCGTTCAATATTTTTTTTAAAAGGCACAAATATAAAGACCGAGATTTTAAAACTTTTGTTATATTTTGAATTGAGATTTTATAAATATAGAGACCGAAATTTTAATGTTGTTCGTTGTTTCTAAGAAAAAAATAAAAATAAAAACATACACACTTAATAAATCTTAGCCGGATTTTTTAAATAATAAAATGAACTAAATCCCAAAATTTAAGGTAGCATTTAATGTTGTATATTTTTTAAAGAAAAAAATAAGAAAAATAATAAAACTTACTATTTATAGGATGCATTAAGTCCTGACCTATGTTTTTGCTACTATTTTTGATAAATGGTAATTTTTATTATATATATATAGATGTGGAGAGAGAGAGAGAGAGAAAGAACCTTTAGAACATCTTCAATGATACATGGATTGTTCTCTTCCATTGTCACCTAGCCTCCAAAATCCAATGTGACATTCAATAAATCTAGAAGTCTTTCTAGATGTAGAAAGACTTCTAGACATTTTTTATTTTATTTATATTATTTAATTTATATTTATATCTCTATTAACCGATTATTATATTACATGTGTCAAATTATCACACAATGGAGATTAACCATTGGAGACAAAATATTTTTTGTTCCTTTCTCCACACCATACATCTCAAAATAGAGATTGAGCCATTGGAGATGCTCTTATGAATCAATTGTGTCATTGTTTCTTTTGTTTGGGAGTAGTATGTGAATGTTCACTTTAAATAAAGTGGAAGCTATAAAACCATAAAATGTTGAGATTTTGAGCTAAATTAAAAAAGTGTCCATCTTGTAATGAAAAGATCTTTTATAAATATGGGTATGTGTGGAAAATTCAACCCCATGTCTTACACCAATTTTTCACTATTAAATGAATACGTATAATCTAATGATAAAAAGTTCGGTATGAACATATACTTTTTTTTTTGGTTTTGCATATGATATTAGGAATATTGATATAATATCGTATGCAATCTACTTTTGTACTAAAAAGTGTTAAAATAAATTGAAAATACACTATATTTTTCCTACAAAAATTGTTGGAATATCGATTGTGAGTTGTACCACATGGAAAATAGACCCACCTTATAAGTCTAATGAGTTACTCCTCCTTTCACCAATTGGTTTTGGGATGAAACTTCACTTGGGCTTCCCTTGCTTATGGTACGCGCGTGGGACAGTACCCGTTTTTCCCCCATTTCTTACAAAAAATATTTATTACTAAAAGAAAAAAAATTCTATCCACAATTTTTTACTTTTCTTTTTACCTCATTTCAAGATTTTTCTGTATTTAACATTCATATATTTTTTTGCTTTTTTATATTCATTTTTTCCCTTTTTTTACCTCATTTCAAGATTTTTCTGTATTTAACATTCATATATTTTTTTGCTTTTTTATATTCATTTTTTCCCTTTTTTTCATTAAGTATGGATTTTTTTTAAATGAACTTGTTTATTTTTCATCTGTTGTGCAAATTCTCCTTTGGTCCAACTGAATCGTGCGCTGCTGGCTTGGACCGCCTTGACGTCTTCCAATGACGTGCAAAATGCTGGGAGGGGTCTCGGTAGAAAACACTCCGACGCTCAAGTCAATCTATATTCAACAAGAGTATGATGGTAATGTATTTTTTGCGCGTGCATGTGTGTTGTGTAAAAAAATAATATGTGTCCCCTTTTATAATCAAGGTTACGTGTCAGCTGAGAGACTCCTGGTAAGATAAGAAGTCTTCCCGTATCCTTTCTCTTAACAAACCAGAACTCCTGGAACCTTTAGAGTCCTTACTGATATACACTTCCCATATTTTAAGGGATTCGGTTCATCATAAATATGGCTTTTGAGCTCCCTAGGCCATCAAGACCAACATTCCCCAAAGGGGTTGGAGGTCGTCACCAGACCCGAAGGTCATGAGGTCGTCGCCAGATGAAGGTCCTAAGGTCGTCGCTAGACCCGAAGGTCTTGAGGTCGTCGCCAGACTCGAAGGTCCTGGGGTCGTCGCCACCGAAGGTCCTGTGATCGTCGCCAGACCCAAATACTCAGGTCATCGCCACCGAAGGTCCTTAGGTCCCCAGACCCGAAGGTCCTGAGGTCGTCCCCAGACCCGAAGGTCTTGAGGTCGTCGCTGGACCCGAAGGTCCTGAGGTCGTCGCCAGACCCAAAGGTCTTGAGGTCGTCGCCAGACTCGAAGGTCCTGAGGTCGTCCCCAAACCTGAAGTTCCTGAGGTCGTCCCCAGACTCGAAGGTTCCGAGGTCGTCGCGTTGTCCTCAGAACAAACTTGCCCCAAGTATATTGAGGTCGTCGACTTGATTCCAACTCTACCGACCTACAGGTCTCACCACCGACCCATGTCGAGCTAAGGCTCCAACGGTCCGCACGACCTACTCTAACTTGCTATATCATCATCCATTTCTATATATGATAATCCAATAAATTAGTTTTTTATAATCTTTGATTTGATATCTATGTTGCATATCAAAATTATTTAAATAATCTTTTTGCGATGATATTCAAGTTTATCAATTGATATTGATTTAAATATAATGAACGAGTGTAAAGTTATCTCATAAAATATAGTAATTTATATTGATTAAAATTTATGTAGCATATAATATTTTTGTTATATTTTCCCATTTAAAAAATGTATTCCAACACATATAAAAATCGATGTAACTATTTACTCTAAGCATGATGTACATATGACATTATAAAGATAAACTACTGGGTTTATGTGCAATCTAGATAAAAAGAACCCAAATTACATATTTTTATCATACGACCCACGCATGGGTTTACATGCTATCTAGATAAAAAATATAAATTTCACATGATAGTACATCGTCTTTGAATCTATTACAATTCTGAACCAACCCAAAATAAAAGCCTCAACATGTTCGATAGTAACTAATATGAAATAAAACACATACATACGAGCCATAATAATTGTATCTAAGATTCTAACAAAACTGAGTTGTGAAAAATACTTACAAAAGGCTCGTTGTACCATTTTAAGTGAATTTAGCATGATCATAATAAACTGAACGAATAATATAGAATTCAATATTAACTTGGACTTTGATACTAGTTGTACGATTATAAAAAACTATGAATTGTTTTAGGTACAATGTTACGTCACTTTGAGTCATGAATGGACCTTTGTGCTTAAAACTTTGCATTTGACCCTCTTTTTTTTTCAATCTATCGAATAATTCGGGAGAGCGTAACACCGAAACCCAATTTGTTCATTAAAAAAGTTATTATTGCACTACATTCCTTAATCCTATATTATTATGCTTCCACTTATTTGTTATTTTCGTTTATCTCCATGTTAAAGAAATTAAATGTTTCTTAATTAACTAATTAAATTACTAAAAATTTAATTAATTAACATCTTTCATTCTGTACTAGTCAACTTTAATATTATGCCACATAAAATTCATCTGCAGGGTTTACATAATAATCCTTATGAACTCGTTTCGAGGACATCACCAATCTAATTCATCATGACACATATTTCTTGTATAATCAACAACACACAACATAAGGAATGGAATAACTAGAACATGGAAATAAAATGCAACTAAGCACAAGAAGACTGAACATCTGGATGAAGTCATCTACACGACTTTTATCCACAACAAACTTCCCTATCAAATCTAAAACATCCTTCCAATTCAAAAGCCTACGGTCTTGACGACCCCAATCTTCAAACAAACTTTCGACTTCAACCCAAGATCTAAATCTACACTTAGCCCGATCCGTCCCAATCCCATGGTTATGCAAAATTCAGCAAGATCAAAGTTAAGAAACAAATCGTCTCCAACAACAAATGCATTCTTGTCTGTCTATATGTACTTATTAAGGCCTCGACTCTTGTATGAGTTATGGGTAAATTAGGCATATTTAAAAAAATGGACTCTTCTGTAATGCTAGCTTATGTGTGTTTGAAATAACAACAATAATATTGTCCCTGACATCTTTGAAATATGAAGGCGCACAATTCGATCTTTCATTCCCCTATCACAAAAATATAAAACAAAGCAAATTTTCAAACATACATAAGCTGCCAAAGATTAACACAAACTGCACCATATGAAATAACAAAAACAACCAACTAAACAAAAGAAAAGGCTGAACAACCTATAAAAAACTAACTATCCAAAGAACAAACAAAACCTATACAAACAACATGATACAAGAACACAACAAAACAAACACAACACAATTTTTGCCAACTAAAAACACAACAACCACTTCAGCTAAACCACAAAGCATGACCAATGATGTAACACAATTTTTGCCAACTAAAAACACAACAACCACTTCAGCTAAACCACAAAGCATGACCAATGATGTGCCACTGAGTTCAAAACTGAACTCCTAGTACTTAACAACCTTTAAACATACAACACCTAATTTCCGGACACAAGTTGAGCAAGATTTGAAGAACTAATTTCCGGATATGTCAACGATGTTGCCAAAAATCCAAAAATTCTTTTGTTGAAAATAGGTAAAAATAAAACATAGAAGTGTTAATAAAATTAAAGAAGAAATTATTAGATTTAAAAATTATATTAGTATTAATTATTGTATAATATATTTATACCTCATTAGATGCATAAAAATCAGCCAAGCACTTGATTGGAGATATGCCAGACTCCAAATCTTCACAAACGTTAGACATGAAGGGCCTCACATATTGGATTGATGAATCACTTGGCCTTATGTGTGAGGTGTGTTGGGTTCGATAGTACCGTACGGGCTGTACGCAGCGGAATTTAAAATTTTTAAAGTAAGTATTTATCGTATAAATACAACACCCGTACATACTAATTGCGAATTAACTGATCGTCATCTTTAAAACATGCATCATATACAAATTTTGATTTGTTACTATAAAGTAAATACTAGTAAAAATATTTACCGAATGTCTTGAACTCCTTCACTATTGATGATGGATGAGGGAATCGGTTCCCGGTTGTAACTTCAACGACTTGAGGTTACTCGCTAGAGGAATCCAAGTGTCTTCCCTCTAAACGTATCCACCTTATGAAGCCCGGTTCCGACGACTTTCCTTCGCTAGTAGAAAAGACTCGGTTTTCTTGTATAGGAATATTTATGAATATTATTTGGGAATTTTAAGAACTCTTTCTTGAAGTTTTATGAAGAACACTTTCTTCTCTTTCTAACACTTAGAAATTTAGGATCAAAAACTTTACTTAAATGCAAAACCATTTTGCACATATTTATACTAAACATTTTAGCATAAAATAATCAACATTTAGTAATATTAAATAAAATCAAATTTTATTTAAATAGTATTTACTAACTTTTGACTTTGAAAATAATAAGATATGTTAAGTAGTTCAAACAACCATCAACAACCATTTTATTATAATCATATTTATTATTTTAATCCTTAAATCATATTTAAAGATATAATAATAATTGGATAATAAATCTTGAGAATCTTTCTCAAGACTTTATTATTATATCATTTTCCCAATATTATAATAATCATATTATTATTATTTTGGATTTTTGAAATTTAAAATCCTATTTTAAAATTCAACTTTATTAATTTAGTAATTACCTTAATTACTAAAGTAATATCCAAAATGTAATTAATCAATCTTATTGATTAATATATTCCTTTAATTGATATCTAATCAAATTAGATATTTATCAATTAATTCTAACCATTAGAAATACAATCTTTACCTTTGTTCATAATTAGTGTGACCTTTTAGGTTCACCTTAATACTAGTAGTGGGTTTACAACACTTTGTAATTTGAGTTAAATCTTATTAACTCTTATTCATGAATTAACCCTTTAATTTATGAACCCACATATCATGGTAACACCTAGCAAGTAGCATGAATCTAGTATTAAGTGAATAGCGAGTAAACCTATTCCGATTACAACTCCATACATGTAAAATCCTTTCGACATCTAATTTCCCGATTAAGTCTTGGGTATGATTTTGTCGAAACCCAAATTGACTTAATAACTATGATTCTATTTCATGTTTATTAACCCGGTTATGAATCACTATTCATCTCTGCCTTGGCCAAGGACTTTGGATTAATAACTATGAAACACATAGGAAATTCACTTATCTTCATAAGTGTCGAATCCTTTATTGGCCACTAACAAACTTCCATACATATCAACATAATACCCAACTTATCCCTTTAAACGATAGTGCTAGCTACCAAAAGGATAAATCAAAGTAGAATGTAATATGCACAAAGTTACCATTGTGCCTCAAGTCTTAGGATTAGTCATGTACTATTGTAACATGAAAATTCTTATTCGACTGAATAAATTCTTCATTAAGAATTTTCATACGGTCATGTTCAGTGAACTTGTTCTCTAACAAGCACCCACATAAATGTACTTACGTCTTACGCTAATGTTGATGGAATGCAACATTCTTGTCCAACAAGCATACAAACTATGTGCAAGTCTTTTATGGATTATTCGATATCCCATCTCGAAACATCCATCGACTTGGAACTGTATTTAAGATCACGGCTTTCAAGGTATGTTCCATGATCACCATCTCTATGCGCAACCATACCTTATAACCATAAGTGATCTAGGGATTTTATCTTAAGTGCAATTATAAGATAAATGCTTTCTCTTAAGATAAAGAAATGCCTTATTAATAATATAATTCCAATAGATTGTATTTACAAGTAGAATACGTCCAATTAGATTGGAACGCCGGGTACCCTACTCTAACAAGGTGTACCTTTATATTCAATAAATTAATTTTGAAAAATAAATATATTATTGAATTGATCATGTATAACATAAAATAATAGGAAATTATAAAAAATAATTTAATTTTCAATACCTTTCTTTGAAATCAAATATTTCGGGAACATCACCCACTATTAGCTTCGTAGCATCAAATATGTTTCCAACTTTTATAGAGCCTAAAAGAGCAAATTAATTTTGTAGAGATAACAATATAAATTGTAAATAAAATAAAAATTATCAATTGAAGTGAAGAATATACCATCTTCAAGAGCTTTTGCTCGGCAAAATTGAACAATGACTACACACAAGTCATTTATAGAGGAATTGTTCAAGGCATCAATAATAATTTGCACATATACTTCCCACAATGTGCAAATTAAATGGCATCTCCTAAAAAATTATAGATAATAATATTTTAATATCAAATGACATCGTAATTAACGAAGTGATTATGAACTATAACTTACTCGACATCTTCTAGAACAACATCGATGAACTTTTTCGCCACACCATTTGAATTCGTTGTTCGTAAGCTTTGAACCATAGCAATACGTCCAATCAAATCTAAAAAATAAAACAATATAATTTAATCTTTTATATTGTAGCACAAGGGTAAGAATACTTGTATTCATAAAGAAAAAAATTACCAATTAGCTTGTTGGAATCAATTGTTTGAGGGTCGGATAGCTCGTTGAAATTTTTGAAGTTAAACATAAACCTCGGGTAGTCCTCAACAATCTCGTACATGTTTGTCTCTTGACCAAACTGAAACTTATGACTTGATTCGGTTAATTTGAAAGCATTTTGTCCTCCTCAAGGTCCCAACTTGTAATCCCGTACACACGTCCTTCGAGAAGGTTAAACTCCTTGAACCTTTGTGCCAAGAAACTGGGTGTCAAACCATGTATCTGATGTCCCTAAAAAAAGAAAAAATTATATTATTAGCAAAATATCAATTTGACACATATTGATAATTGTGGACACTAATTAATTTGTTTAAAAATATCTTGAAAAGTTTTCAATAACTTGTAATAATGGCAGAAAAATGAAGAAAGTCAATTGTATTTGTTGCCAATTTTAACAAAGTCAACTCTTCTCCAAAACTGATTTGTTTATGAATAAAAAAATAAAAAACAAAAAATAAATGAACAGTAACGAGTTTTGGCGGGAAATGACAGCTATGTATAATTTAATAGGTTTTCTTAAATGCTATTAGCTAGTAATTATATATATATATAGATTATTATTATTATTATTATTATTACATTAATCCGCTCTATCCCATTAATAATAAAATATTTCCTTTCACTTTTTTTTGGGTTAATTAAGACAAAAACATTATATTTTATATTAATTGAGTAATGATTATATTTTTTATTTTATCATATAATAGTTATTATTAAAATTTACAATTATATTTTACACTAAATGATATATGAAAAGTTACATAAACATAAAAGATTATATTATACAAACTTTTGATTCGAGTTATTTATTCTAAAATCAATATTATATTTTTTTATCTGATTAACCGATTGTTTTTTTAAATAAATTAATTTATTTTACTATCATAATAAAATCTCTTAAAATCGCATAAACAATTGTTATAAGAAATTTTATGATTTTTAACTAATTAATTAGTCATAGTCTCTCAAAATTAAAGAAAATTACATTATTTGTTATATTTTTTTAATCAATATAGTGATTTATATGCAATCAAATCGTTATAAATTACATTATTTGTTATATTTTTTTAATCAATATAGTGATTTATATGCAATCAAATGGTTATGTGATCGAATTACATTTATCTAACTTATAACTTAATATTATATGTATAAATAAAACTTATAATACTTATATTTAAAATATAATATAATTGTATAACTTATAATTTTAATATTATATAAATGCAAATAACTGATAATTTTAACTTGTAAAAAAAATAAAAAAAAAATAAAAAAAAAATAAAAAAAAAAGAAAACAACTGATATTCAATCGAATCACCCTATAACCTACCCATAAGCCATTAACCCATTTTCCTCTAGTCAAGATTAACCTCTGCATCTGCGCCTCGCAGCTCCACCCTAACCTCGGCGACTTTACACTTCCGGTAAATCAATCGGGTTTTTCTCTCTCGCTCTTTTTTTATTTTTATTTGTTTATTTATTTTTGTGTGTGTGTCCCTGCTTCGAGATTTAATATTTCTCCAAATCTGGGGTTCAATTTCATGTTCTCATCGCCGGTGCTCATTTTCCGCAGTTTGATTGAACTAATCTGCCGGACTTTTTTGTTGTCTGTTTTCATTAATCTGTTGGTTTGATTTTTGTGCAGGTTTATTCGCTTGATAATTCAATTCCTATACTATGTGAGTATGAATTTACTGATTCATTATTCTGGTTCGGAATGGATGTGTCCCATCTCGTGTGAGCGTATATTTATGCTGTCTTCGTTCTTATTTATTTATGTATATGCTCAGTAGCTAGTTTTTCCTTGAGTTATACTTACTGCTAGTTATTGGGAATGTGGCAAACCTGGTATGCCGAGCATTATTCTTCGTTGCATAGGGTTTGGCAGAACTAATGGGATATTAAATTTTGTGCCTTAATCATGAACAAGCTTTGTATATTTTTCATCATTGTGTTTTCGGAAAATTAGTTAGCACTTGGGCAGATGGAGGCTTTCTCGTGACTTGACGACAAATAATCGTGGGATATAGCTGTGTAACTGGACTTGTTGTTTTTGTCGTTTAGGGCTGATTACGAGCCTGTTGATCCAAAGGCAGAACTTGAAGACCGTTGCAAGGCACCATGTACACGGCCACTGAAAGAATATCAGGTGACATATTAATCAGTTAATATTGATTGCTGTATTGATGTTTAGGTTNTTTCTATAATTTTATCTGTTTCTAATGTCACTTTCCTCACCTAGAAAATATAATCTGAATCAACTTTTATTATGCAATTCCCGCTTCTCATGATTGTGTCATTTTATGTGGTATGTGAGGTCTCTGCCTATCTGTTTGGCTGCACCTCTTTTACTTGTCAATGTTTTTAAAGTTTCTCATCCTGCAAACAATATCAAGTGCACATGTCTGTTATTTGTGTTTTTCTCTCTGTGCACTGGCTATTTAGTGAGTGTTTTTCCTAAAGACACGTGGACAACGTCTGCTTAACTATATGAAAATTATAAACAGACAGTGACATAATAATTGCATCACTTAACATAGTTTACACTTATTATCTGTTATTTCCTCTGATATATATAAGAATGTGCGATTGTTCACAGATAGCCAAATTCTCTTCCATTCTCGGTATTATGAAATGTTTATTTGTCTTCTTAAGGAATCTTTGCTTTACTTCTTAGTTGTTGGAAGTTTGAATCGGCAATAGTAGAAGACTTCCTAGGATTTGCATCCTATTGTGATATACACTGAAATAAGCTGTTTGAGAAATGTAGGAGTTATTAGAACCTGAAGGATTCAACTTCAGTGTTTGATGTTATGTGTAAGAATGATTGATTGTTATTATTTACTTATATTGATAATATTGAGGATAGGTTGAGTTAAAGTTGAGTTAGATTTTGAGTATGAATTGAATATTGATTGAATTATTTTATAAACAAACACACTCTAAATAACTTATGCAATTACTATTATTGCACTTGCAATTCACTGCCCTTCATTTGAATAAAGATTGTCTCCTTTACCATTGTGGTGTATCGTAAACTGATATCTGATAAATGACAACAGAGTATCTCCTAGTTCTCCTCATGAATCTTTTCCCCTATGTCTTTGTGCTTTCGTGTTTCTCCTATTCTTTAGCCTTTTGTCTCTACATGCAAGGTGTTCTATGCTTATCAATGATAATTTCACATGGTACTCATTTTTTAAAAAGGGTCCTATCAAGGTCTGTCCATTATTTTTATTGGAATATGTAACAAAAAGAACAATGATCCTGGATCAATCTTACTTGCTGTTGGTTGCTCTTTTATCAAGTTATTACTTACTACTATGCAATAGCCACAGCCAAAGATTATAGTGTAATCTGCTGGTTGTGGAATCTGTTTATATGTTCATATTTTTGAACAGAATGGTTTATGCCTTCTGTTTTTTNAAATCTGCTCCACAATGGAATCTGTTTACTTACTTCTGTTTGCATAATGGTTCGTTGTGTGCTCAACTTTAGCGGATTCTTTCATGTTCTTGCTCTGGTGCATGCTAGCATTTCACACAGAATGTGGCATGCATGCTTCATTATGTAATAAAAAATGGAAGTACTCAATTTTCAACATGTAACTCGAATTCACTTGACACAAGTATTTGTGGTCTTATCCTGGTGATAGGCATGCTATAAAAGAATTGAAGGTGATGAATCTGGGCACAAGCACTGTACCGGTCAATACTTTGACTACTGGCGTTGTGTGGACAAATGCGTAGGCTTCGATTTCCAATTTACATCTTTCTTGTTTTTTCTTATTTGTGTAGTCCAGAAAAATTTCTAACTCTGCTGATTGTGCTGGAATTGTTTATGGTACAGGTCGCTACTAAGCTATTTTCGCAGCTTAAGTGACTGGATCATCTACGTCACTGCTGTTTTTGGAGCCAATGAGCCCTCTTTAGTGTTGAAAAAAGCATAGCAATTGATGTTGTTGCGTTTTTCTTATACAAACTGATACTGCTAGTGCACATGGCATTTGGAGATTTGGAGATCTGTGGGATCAATAAAATAAGTGTGGGAATTATGTTTGTCTTTTGTTTTATTGTAAAAATTCTATTTTGTGTTGGATTTTTAATCGTTATCAGCACCACCATGTTTATTGAACGTGCTTCAAGTATCGGCTGTTTATCTTCTTATAACTAAATGATTGACAGAAGAGTTTGGGGCTATAGCACCACCGTGTTTATTGACATATAGTTTTTGTTGCTTGATTAAACTAAATGATTGACAAGTCACAAAAGAATTTGGGGCTATAGCACCACCGTGTTTATTAACATATAGTTTTTGTGGCTTGATTTGGTAGGGAGGAATATATATTAGCACAATTTCTTTACAGTCCGATGCATCAAGTTTTTTACTTTGTTCGGTAACAATCTAATTTTTTCACCTCGGAAAATGCAAAAGTTATGTGAATGTTTCACATAACTGTTGCATAATGAATGTCATCGGCACAATTGTTGCATAATTATTGCATAATGTCTTTTGCACTTTCTGGGGTGAAAATATTAACTTATAACATAACGGTATGAAAAAATTATTCAATCTTCGTAATTGTGTAATTTCTAATATATGTTATTTTATAGAAAGCATCACTTGCACAAAAAGGCACAAATCTGATGCTTTAAAATATGTTATAATTGTTGGGTGATTTTATTGTTTTTGATGTCGGGTATTCCTTAAAATTGTGATATATGATATTTCAAATAATTAAGATTTTCTAAATAAAAAAAAATATATTATTGTTGATGAATTTATGTGCTCTTACTTAAACACTTATTTGGAAAAATAAACAATTTTGTAACTTTGTTGTAATACCTTTGGGTCAAAATTTTACTATAAATTACATTCTTAATTAAAAAATTAACAACATAATTCTATATTATAATGATATTAATTAATGTAATTAAATTCATCATCTTTTCTTTTTTGTTGGCCGCATCTGAAGTCACCGCTCGCAGGCAACATATTGCCTCCATTGCACTCCCGGCGCCTCTATCGCTTGCCATTTTTTTTAATGCATACATTTAGATTTGTTCAAATTTTATATGGGATTCGTTGATATAGAAGTAGGATCAAACGAGAATGGGAGATAGTGAAATAAATAAGAATAGTTGAATATGATGAACCAACATTGATTATGTAGTCATTCTGTCTTTCAAGCACATTCAAAGGTGTGGTTGCATGATGGTAGGTGGAAGGGCAATATTGATTTTTACTCAAAAGGTTCGGGGGTAAGTGCTTAGGAGTGTAGCTGCATCCTGCTAGAGAAAATAGTCGGCAAAAGGAAATAAATTCTATTCGGCATTCTTTGAACAATGGGGATAGTGTGGCAAACAACGCAACCAGTTCAGGTGAAAGAATTGGGAGCGAATTTCTTCCAATATATCTTTAAAAGCCAGGAAGATAAACACAAGGTGGCTATAGGAGTCAATTTGATTTTCGATAATCAATATTTGGTGCTTCATGAATGGGAAGAAGGTTTATCCGAGAAGAGCCAATGTTTCAGTGAAATGAATATCTGGGTTTAGGTACACAACATACTTTTGAATTGGTTAAGTACAGATGTTAGAGTAAAGATAGGCAGGTTGTTTAAAAATGTCTGGAATGTAGTTATTGTCAAAGCAGGTGGACTGAAGGGAAGTTTTATTCGATTACTGATGACTAATGATATATCGGAAGCATTACCAAGGTGCACTAATATAAAACTCCTAGATCAAATTATCAGTGTTACCTTTTTAATACGAAAAGTTAGTAAATTTCTGTTACTATTGTGGAAAAGTGGGGCACCTAGAGAGGTTATGTGACAGAAAAATTACAGATATTGAGAAAGGGGAAGTTAATTGAGGACAATATGGATACTGGATGAAATTCACAGACAATATGAACTCAACAAGGAATGCAAATTCCCTAAGTCGCTCTAATAGTAATAGCCCTACAACTCAGGTCACAACACCTTCATCTTCTAGAAGTAAGAGAGATTGACATAAGGGTAGTTGGAGCATCTTCAGTTTCGGAAACTAAGGTCCACAAAGATAAGAATCTAGTTGAGCCTCTTCTGAATATTCCAATCCAGTACCGAAACTCTAAAGCTATGTCCCAAGCTAAAGCTATCGTGGAGGTTGGTATGCCTTTGGCTATCACAAAATTTGTACAATGGAAGAGGGGATTGGAGTTAATCCAACACCAGAATGACTTGATGGTATTGGAAGTTGGATAAGTCGGCTATTAAAACATCTGAAAGTTATTTATCAGCAAGGCCAGTGAAACAAAAAAGAAAAAGCTAGAAGAGACAATCATCTCAGAAGGTAGATTATATAGAAGCAAAAGAGGGGTGGCCTCAACCCCTAACTCAAGTGGTTTGAAGAGGACTAGAATGGAAGAGGATATCAGGGAAGATGAAGTGGAGGACATACTCAGTATTGGAGTTGTTGAGTAAAAACAAAAGCAATTCTTGAATCAGGTGGGTGTAGCCCGCCTTGAGTGGCCCCACCCTAATTAATGAATATTAATGTGTTGAACTATAGAGGTCCCGGGGGAGAGGGCTCTACATTTTCCCAATTAAAGGAGTCCATCAAGATCCACCATCCAAGTTTTGTGTTTATATCAAGCAAAACTCATAAACATACATCAATTATAAAATACCTTGCGATTATTAAGAGTTAGAATATAGTATAGAAATCCCCACCTGGACTGCTTATTCACTAACTGAACTGTGCTAAATGAATGATTCTGTGTCTTGATGAGGGCTCGACTCCTATTTAATCTACAGTTTAAAATTATTTTTACCTTATTATTTAAGGGTGACGACAAATAAGCAAACAAGATAGACAAGGACAATTAAAATCACATAAGCAGATAAAATTACACAGAGACAAATAAAATAGACAAAACTGCTACTGACTGCCACTGACTTCTCGGCTTAACTGAACTCGACTAATGTTCTCAGAACAAATCAATCTTAGGCTCGAAAACTAAAATTTTCCGAACTGCTCGAACCGGCCGATCCGCGCTCGGAAACCAGTACATATTAGATTGAAGAACTGGTTTTGCCATTGAGGACGGCAATGCCACTTTCTTCTTCTTCAAAGCCCCCTTCTCTCTCCAAGCTTCCTACAGGCTATGCGAAACTTGAATCCAACCCCAAGCCCGGGCTGACCACCGTCCCGCCGAATTCGGCGTCCTATTCATCTGCTGCTCCCCCACCGCCGCCGGAGAAGAGGACACGAGACCAGCCTAATTACTCCAACTGCCACTGCTGTGGCCACCGGATCAACAGCACAAACCCTAGGGACCGCCTGCAACCCCTGAACAGCGTCTGGCGCATCGTCCTTCTCTGCAGAAAGTGCCGCAGGAATGTTCACTCCGGCCAAACGTGCCCTTATTGTTTCCGAGGAACAGGGAATTCGGGTGAGTTTTTCACATGTAGTGCCTGTGAGCGTATAATTCATGGCGATTGTGTTAGTAATTACGGTAATTGCGCGCCTTGGTGTTATTCAGGCGGGGGGTTGGAGAGGTTTAGTGTTTGCATCGATTGCTGGGTTCCGGAGTTGCTTAAGAACTCGGTTATGATTTGTAGGAGGAGTGAGAATAGCGGAAGGTCAAAAGAGAATGGAAAAGAACATGAGGCGGAGAAGAAGGTGCCGCCTAGCAGGGCCAAGGTTGGGAAGAAGAATGTGGAAGATTCGGAAAGCCTGGAGACTAACAATTTGAGTTGTGGTGGTACGTTAGAAGTGGTGGATGATGCCAAACTTGCAATTCAATTGCACAGAGCCATTAACAGTTCACCGAGGAATTTGAGGGGTGGGGATTTGGCTAAAAACTCGAGTGATTTAGATGTTTCTTGTATCATGAATTGGAGTGGGGTATCCTATAAGAGATCCCATCTGGGAAAAAACAACATTGAAGATCAGAAAATTGGGAGATGTGCTAATATTGCACAGAATGAAAGGATGACTTGGCTTGGGAACATTGATTATCGTTTTGATTCGGCTGAGGTAAGTCAAGGACTGAAATGTTACAAGCGAGATAAAACTAGGAAAATATGGAAGTTAACCGAAGACAATGCCATGGCATATGAAGCTATATCTAGCCCGCATGATATTGGCATATTGGAGGCTTCAATATCTGGCGATGCTGATCGAAATAGAGTAGACAGATATGGGAAGGAGCTCTTAAGTTACAGGCGCTGTGGGTCTAAACGGAAGCTTTTCCAAGAAAGTGGTATTGGTGTTTCTGGAGAAAGCAACTCTCAGGATAACCATGAAGCGAACTTCAAACCCGATTTTTCTCAAATGGATGATGGAGGGTTTAGATTAGGTTGTCAAATTAAAAGTGATGATACTGAGGTGATTTTGCCAAATGAGTGTTGCATTGTGGATCGGGACCGTTTTCTTCTGAAGTATGGTAAGAGAGGTAGAGGAACCAAATCTGAGTCATGTTTCCAGCATTTTAGTAACCTTCTGAGTCAGAATCAGACATCTCAAAGTAATTTGAATAAACTGGAGGCTGTTTTGACTAAAGACTGTGCTCATGGCAGCATCATAATTGAAGAGAGCTACAGAAATTTGCCTCAAGCTTTCTGCACTATGACTCTTTTGAGTGAAAATCAATCCTCTTTGCGTGATTTAGATGATAACTCTGCGGTGAAAGTTGATGGCACATTAAGTTTGCAACTTGGGAATGTTAATCAGGACTCTGATCGCTAATATTGTCAGTACATTAAGAGGGTCGAAGGCACCATGATTGGCTCAATTTTTGGAGCTATGTTACATTCTGGCATTTTTCTTAAAGAAATTGAGGCCTCTTCTTATGGATTGACATTTTACTCCAAACTGTTACATTTGACTCCTTTACTGTTGCTCTGCCTTAGTCAACAGGTAAGGCAACTTTTTTAAATTAATATACTTTTTGGAAAATATGTCAATTTTGAGTATGCAGATTGCGGTGATTATTTTGTTGTCTTTCTTGTGATAATTGTGAACATTTGCAACTTCTGCATGAACCTGAAATTTCATATATGAACATTTCTGAAAATAAAGCTCATGTGGGAGCTCCATACAGCGTTATTCTACCTATCCTTTTGTGTGTGTGTGTGTGTGTGTGCTTTTTAAGACATACGTGATTGATTGGTCACTGACTTACAATGGCTGATGGTTATTATATTGCAGACACTCTAAATTTCTAGGATGAGCATTTATTTTAATTTTAGTTCTCTTGAGACTTACATCGGGTGTAACATACTGATCATAGCTTTCGATAGGAAAAGTCTTAGGTAGTCTGGTTATTTCTATTGTCCTTCTTTCTTGATTTTTTTTTTTTTATGTTGCGATTCTAGAAATAAGAATTTTTGGCTATTCATTGTGGGGGAATGGATCGAGCCTATCTAGGTTGGAGTTGTCCCACGGTGCCATCTCGTATTTATTGTACCTATCCCTAACTAAGACTGGGTGGTGATTCATTTGCCCAATCTACCATAAATACAATGGCATCTCATTTTTCACATCATTGAGCTGTTGTTTCATTGGGGGAAGCTTATAACATATTTCGGTACAGCAATTACTTGTTATGGTTATCCTGAAAGGGGGCAAATGCAAAATAACTAAAGGAAGATGCATGTGGGTAATATGTACTGTATAAGTCCATACAAGCCAAAATAATGGATGTTGCCTGTTTTCAAAATGTGCTCTTGGATATACTTGATTCCGGTATATAAGAAAAGGCTATTATTCTATCAAATAATTCAAATTTGTAAAAATGAGTTGGCATAGAGGATATATAATTAATGAATTATAGTTCAGGAAAGAAGTTAACACCCCTTTTTTGAACCACATGGTGAGGTACTGTTGTATTTTAAAAGGAAATTTATATTTATATATAAAGAAAATTTTAATAAAATAAAACACATATGTAAGCATGCGGATCCGAAACCTCATATCTTCAATGATAAAAGTTAAGTTGGGACCACTAGACCAGGTGGCTATTTTAATATGACTACACTATTTAAATTATACTGCTAACACTTTGGGATACGATGGTACCTGTGTACCTGGCGAATCCATCTCTGATTATGGTACTTTAGTATTAGTAGTTGTTCACCACCATATTGTTTTAGTGTACCGGAATTTTGTGCTTAGTTCAACCATAAGTTGGCATATATGTTGCAGACATATGTTTGTTTATGTGTATATTTTATTTGTGAAGGTATTTAGTTATTATCTAGTTTCCATTCAACTTGTTGATTTGATTAAAGCAATATATTCGTACCAATCAGTGACATGCAGAAAATAAGAACAGTGTTCTAATTTTGGGTGGAAGTAGTACACGTGTTCAACTATTTGTCATCCGTTGGCTATATACATTGACAATTTGTTGAGGCTCATGTTTGGCCAAGATTTCAGGTGGACATGGATCACTTTGTTTAGCCATTTCAAGTCTCTGTATGTGGTTGCACAAAGTTGAGCCTAATTCGATGAATTTCACTCATACTAATGATTTATGTCTACACAGAGTGGTTTTGCTCTATGCATATGTGCATGTGATGAAATTGATCCTGACATCACCTTTTCTGTTTTATTTAGTCTATCATATTCTACTATCATGGATACTGATCGGTACTAATTTTCAAATTATGACGATCCTAGAAGTTAGACTATCCTTCCAAATTGATAGAGGCCCTCTTTTAGTAAAAGGACACTTATTATGTGCATGCCTGTGTAGATTTTTTTTTTTTTGTAGTTATAAATCAATGTTAATTGTTAAACGAAGAGAATTATGGACTGTATATTCAGAGTAACGAATTAAAAACTTAATGTTACATGAGGTTGTTTGCTGGTTCTGTTAAATAGTCCAAACACCTGGTCTATATCTTATTGCTATTCCAACTTCTCAATTCCTGTAGTCCACATCTGAATATATTGTGGTCAACGTATATCTTAAGTGATGTCCTTGAATGTTGGGCTCTTGGATGAACAAATGACTCTATTGAGCAGCTTAAGATGCTGACTTTCATAAAAATAATTCTCACCAACGATAGGATGGTGACAATATCTGCTGAATCAGTAGTATACAAGGAAGACTCCTTGAGATTGATGATGAAGAAAAATAAAGCAATCGTTAAAACATCATTAACTATTTTTTCCTACATAAGAAGCCGTTGAGTAATTAGATATCTTCATTTTTATTCGACAAAATTATTTCTTCATGTATAATGCATCATGATACATTAACTTTTGCTATTATGCAGTATTTCAACTGTGGAAATTTTGTCTGTTTTTTTGAGTTTATTTCATTCCTAGAGCATATATCATAGTTGCTTGATCTAGTGATTCAAAAGTTCAGTTTTAACAAAAAGTAATGCATTTTAACTTCTCTGAACTGTTGAGTGAGGAAACTAAAGTAGTTCTACTTTTGCTTTGATTCTCCATTCTCACGTATAGCCTAACTTCATAAGTGCTGTATTTTGTCTTTGTGTTGCTGGTTCGCACTTGTTACCTACAACTTTCATGCTTTGGTATTATGGTTTATAACAATATCATTATCTGGTGATGAACTATAAAAGAGGGGAAAAGAAAAGAAAGAAAAGGAAATTGGAGCAAGAAATATGAAAAATTATAACAAAAAGGAACCTGAACTGATATAAACTTTGATTTGATTGTCTCATATCAGTACTTGTGTTTCTCGACTTCTGAATTTTTTGTACCCTATTATGTGTGCTTAAGGTAAGTTATCCACTCCACTCTAAGTACAAAGTATTTAATTCCATGCGTTCAGATGATCATATATGGGTGTAGAATATTTTTGTTCAGGCATTAACTGTGAAATAATAACTAAAACACCTTTGTAATCAGAATCTTTGGTATGCTTCTTTTTTGCAGTGATCGAGCAAATCCATCTTCGTACGTTTGTTACGACACATAATATTTTCTTCAATGCAGATGAGGTGTTGACCCCACCAAGGTTTATAGCTTCAAATTTACTAGGTATTTCTTATTCCTTTATTTGAGTCGGTGGTAACTGTAAAAAGTTTGCAAGATAGAGAAACACCTTTATTTGAATGCTCTTTCAGATAGTAATGGATACTACTGAGCTACATGCTCGTGGTAAAATAGAGTATCTCTTGTTGTATTAATGTCCTTGAAAAACAAAAAAGAACCTGTTTGTCATTGTTATACTGTTATAGTTGTCTTTGGTGATATTGGCTGTTGTTTTCCTCGACTATAGGTGTCTTTGACTTAAGTTATATACTTGTATGTAGTTCGGCGGTGTTTATTTTCTTGCGACACTATGGATCTCTTGACTCAAGGTATTGCAAACAGTGTTCAATAAAATTAATCTGTGCGGTAATGACATAAGTAGATATATAAAGATATAAAACAGAGTTACTGAAAATTTGCCTACTCTTCAGCAATTTGCTTGACCTGTTGATGTAAAAGACTTTTTTTCATCATCGTTTCTCGTAATTTTTCCTGAGGAACTGGACAGAAATGTCACCTAGGGCTGCTAGACAATGTCAAATGCAGCTTGTTGGAAGAGAATATTGGAGGATATGCAATTAAAAATGGGATTATCATTTGTAATGAGAACCACATTTATCGGCTGACAACTCTGTACTTATACCTTAACTAGTACGTAGTCCGTGCGATTCACAGAACAATAAATTGTATAAATTAAAGCAAGAAGGATATTGATTTGTATAAAAATAGTTTCGAATACTAATATTAATTTTTATCTTTTATGTTATATTATGATATGTAAGAATTTAATATTTGATTTATATACTTATTTCACCTGTTATAAAATCGTTTCCATTTTAGACTTCCAATTTAAAATTACCTAACGTGAAAATTTAACATATTAAAACATTATTAATAAATAATACTCACAAAATACTTCCATCTTCCTTCTCTTACTTATACTTTATTACAATATATTATTTTGATTTCTTAATAAATTACGGTAAAGTTGAAAAATTACGGCAAATTTTATAAAAGCAAATTTGTTTAAAAAGAATGTAGTGTATACTATCTTAAAGTTATAAAATTTATTAATTTTTATTTACGTAAAAATTCTTAATATGTTGTAATTTAATAAAATCTGTTACATATATTTTGAATTTTCTTTATAGTTTAATAAATCATACAACAATTCGGCATCGATTGATCTATCATTATAATTTATAACAATATACATCATGAAAGTTATGGCATTTTTCTAAGTTATCAATTTAAATTGTTGTTCGATAAAGGGCTTGTTGCTTTATCATTATAATTTATAACATTATACAGTATAAATGTTTTTTTTTTCTTCTAAGTCAATAATTTAAATGTTTGGCAGATGATCCGTTGGCTTGTTATAACGTTATATATTATACAATATTTTATTTTGTCTTTTTAAATTTATAATTTACTATATTGGTTCGATAGATGACTCACTGGTTTATCATAATTTATAACAAAATATATTACAAAATATTTTGATTCTTCAAAATCTAGTAATTTACGTGACAATTCGACAAATGACCCATTACTTTCTCATTTTAATATTATATATGTTGGATCCTTGAAATTATTTTGACTTATATTTTTATATTTTTAGAATTAAAATTTTAATCTCATGAATAATAAGCATACTAATTAATATCTGGATCTGGATTATTTTGTACTAAAAATATTTTATTATAAATAAATTTATAGTTCACTATCAATAACTTGAGACTAATTTCTTATTTGTAAATCATTAATACTTTAAAAATATTAATTTTTTATTTATACATACAATATGAGTGTCAAATCGAAGATCGTAAAATTAAAGTTGATTTAACATGATATATAAACTGGGTAAGAAATAAAAATATTATTAAGCTTTTAAAAAATGACATTAATACTAATACGAAAAATGACAAAAAAAAAAAAGAAGATAACAATAT